GCAAAGGAAAAAGGTCAAGTAACTTATAAAGGTAAATCTATCAGACTTACACCAGACTTCTCTATGGAAACCATGAAAGCCAGAAGGTCCTGGATAGAGGTACTGCAGAAACTAAGAGACAATGGGTGAAAACCCAGACTACTTTACCCAGCCAAGCTATTGTTCACTATCAACGGAGAAAACAAAATATTCCAGGATAAAAACAAATTTAAACAATACGTAGCTACTAATCCAGCCTTACAGAGAATACTAGAAGGAAAATCACAACCCAAGGAATCCAACATCCCCAACACTGCCTACATTAACTCAGACATCTAGCGACCCTTCACAAGCACAACTCAAAGAAGGAAAACACATACACGCTACTACCCAAAAAAATGACAGGAGTCATCGATCACTGGTCATTAATATCACTTAATATCAATGGTCTCAACTCACCTATAAAGAGGCACAGACTTAGAGATTGGATACGAAAACAGGATCCAACATTCTGCTGTCTACAAGAAACACACCTCAACCACAAAGACAGACACCTACTCAGAGTAAAGGGTTGGGAAAAGGTTTTCCAAGCAAATGGACCTAAGAAACAAGCGGGTGTGGCCATTCTAATATCTAACAAAATCGACTTCAAACTAAAATCAATCAGAAGAGATGGAGATGGACATTTCATACTCATAACAGGAACAATTCATCAGGAAGAAGTCTCAATCTTGAATATCTATGCCCCTAATATAAAGGCACCCACATATGTAAAAGAAACTCTTCTAGAACTCAAGGCAGTCATCAAACCACACACACTAATAGTAGGAGACTTCAACACTCCTCTCTCACCAATGGACAGGTCAAACAGACAGAAACCTAACAGAGAAATAAGAGATTTACTGAAGGTACTGAATCAAATGGACTTAACAGACATCTATAGAACACTCCACCCAAATAGGAAAGAGTATACCTTCTTCTCTGCAGCTCATGGAACCTTTTCGAAAATTGACCACATACTTGGTAACAAAGCAAACTTCCACAGATAAAAAAAATATTAGTGACCACCTGTGTCTTGTCAGATCACCATGGATTAAAATTAGAATTCAACAACAATGGTACCCCCAGGAAGCCAACAAACTCATGGAAGTTGAACAGTCAACTACTAAATCACCCCTGGGTCAAGGAAGAAATAAAGAAAGAAATTAAAGTCTTCCTTGAATATAATGAAAACAAAGACAAAACATATTCAAACCTATGGGACACAATGAAAGCAGTGCTAAGAGGAAAGTTCATAGCACTAAGTGCCCACCTAAAGAAAACAGAGAAAGCACACATTGGAGACTTAACAACACACTTGAAAGCTCTAGAAAAAAAAGAAGCGGATTTACCCAGGAGGAGTAGAAGACTGGAAATAATCAAACTGAGGGCTGAAATCAACAAAATAGAAACACAGAAAACAATTCAAAGAATCAATGAAGCAAAAAGCTGGTTCTTGGAGAAAATTAACAAGATTGACAAACCCCTATCCAAACTAATCAAACGGCAGAGAGAGAACTTGCAAATTAATAGGATCAGAAATGAAAAGGGGGACATAACGACAGACGCAGAGGAAATTCAGAGAATCATTAGATCTTACTACGAAAGTTTACATGCCACAAAGTTGGAAAATGTAAAAGAAATGGACATTTTTTTAGATAAGTACCATATACCAAAGTTGAACCAAGACCAGGTGAACAATCTAAATAGACCTGTTAGTCGTGAAGAGCTAGAAGCTGTTATCAAAAATCTTCCTACCAAAAAAAGCCCAGGACCAGATGGTTTCAATGCAGAATTCTACCAGAACTTCCAGGAAGAGCTAATACCTATACTCCTTAATGTATTCCACAATATAGAAAAAGAAAAGTCACTGCCAAACTCCTTTTATGAAGCTACAGTTACCCTAATACCAAAACCACACAAAGACACAACCAAGAAAGAGAATTACAGGCCAATCTCACTCATGAACATCGACGCGAAAATTCTCAATAAAATACTGGCAAACCGAATCCAAGAACACATTAGAAAAATCATCCATTATGATCAAGTAGGCTTCATCCCAGAGATGCAGGGATGGTTCAACATACGCAAATCTATCAATGTAATCCATCATATAAATAAACGGAAAGAAAAAAATCATATGATCATTTCATTGGATGCTGAAAAAGCGTTTGACAAAATTCAACACCCATTTATGATAAAGGTGTTGGAGAGACTGGGGATACAAGGATCATACCTAAATATAATAAAAGCAATATACAGCAAGCCGACAGCTAACATCAAATTGAATGGAGAGAAACTCAAAGCCTTTCCACTAAAATCAGGAACACGGCAAGGCTGTCCACTCTCTCCATACCTCTTCAATATAGTGCTTGAAGTTCTAGCAATAGCAATAAGACAACATAAGGGGATCAAGGGGATTCGAATTGGAAAGGATGAAGTTAAACTTTCGTTATTTGCTGACGATATGATAGTGTACATAAGCGACCCCAAAAACTCTACCAAAGAACTCCTACAGCTGATAAACACCTTTAGTAACGTGGCAGGATACAAGATCAACTCCAAAAAATCAGTGGCACTCCTATACACAAAGGATAAAGAAATGGAGAGGGAAATCAGAGAAACATCACCTTTCACGATAGCCACAAACACCATAAAATATCTTGGGGTTACTCTAACCAAGGATATGAAAGACCTATTTGACAAGAACTTTAAGC